GCAAGGGAAGAGCGACATGTCTGACAATGTTACAAACCGTTTCACAACAATGAGCTGCATGTCCCCATAGCTCACGTGGCGCGTCTAAACACAGCACCATGAAACCGCGTCCACGTCCCTAGCAATGATTCTTAATCAAGCTTACGGTAACTTTGCCTTTTGTTGGGTAAATAAAGGGGCAAATATACGGTAAGCTTGAGCGTCCCTAGTCACGATTCATCAAGCTTATCGTAAAATTGCCTTTTTTCTTACCAACTTTGCTGATTGCGCGATGTAGATGTGGCGGGCGGGTGGGAGGGGGGGGGGGGGGGGGTCTACACTTAAGTGGACATAAACAACACCTGAGATTGATGTTCTGTAAGTCGTGGCAAATTATGTTGCTGCATTCGAGCCTCAGTGACAAAGAGATGTTTATTTTACAGACAAGTTGGTGGTTCGTTTGATGTAATTGGCATAAACGTTCATAGGGAATTTTAAACTGCCTTGCAGATTGTTGTATTGAAAAAAAATAGATTACCTATTACGTCATCACCGTCATTAGGATTTAATGTATCACCACTTTAATATACATCCTCACGTATGATTGATTTAAAGGACAAACCCAGTCGTGTGAATTACAATCAAAATTTGAGCTTGTATATATCGATGTCTGAATAAACAAACTTCAGCACTTGGTATTGTTGTTCAAGACGCCATGTCAAACTTTATAACTTTTCCACCAGGATTTTTTTTTTTCATGTCCTGATGCACAGAGGCCTCGGCTGCATAAAGGAATACAAAATGACATTGATTTTTTCCAGTCGAAAACAGAAACGCGTGAGAGAGTAAGAGTAAGGTTTTCGTTCCTTTCACATAGCCACAAAAATAGATCCATAAAATCTAACAAAATAAAGCGATTTCTTAATACCGTCCAGATTCTAACATCAAAATAGAACCACAAAAAGAGGGAAAACTAACAACTAACGAAGAAGTTGATGAAGGAGGAGTTCTGCGTTGGAGGATCGCGTGTGTCGGGTGACGCTCGAGGAGGAGCTGGTGACGACGCAGATCAAGTTGGGGGGGGGGGGGAGTAGGCTGCTGCGAATTGAAGAAGCGAGATGCGTCCATGCCTAGCTCTTTCCCTCGGCAGATATTAGCTCTATTGGCGTCGAGATGCGATGGGGGTCTACGTTTTCTGTCGGGAGTGTATATCGGTTCTGTGTATCTTGGGGTGTGTCCGCATGGGAGGGTTCAATTCGTCTTTCTCGCTCGTTCGTTTGAGGCGATAAGCGCCATCTGTTGTCGCTGTTGGGAGTGGGGTGTTTTGGTGACAGTGACAAGGGAAAAGACTAATAACACTTTAAATAAACATTTGTTACACTGGCGGAGAGCAGAAAGGACATCCAGGCAGATAGACAGGTAGAAATAGACAGAGCTGGTGAGGAAAGGCATGATCTGTACATCAGCACTGGCGACCTATAAAAAGGGGAAAATAAAGGTTTGAATTATGAACAGGTTTTACGTATGGTGTCGGTTAACACCTTAGCAACAACTATATATCGTTGTGATATGTAGAACGATGCATAACTGATATATCCAAAAACAATTTAGTTTAGAAACATTAAGTAATGAAGTAATTCCTCAGGGGACATTTATCACTCGAGCTCGAACGCAATCATTTCTTTGCTTCAAGAGTTCTCTTTAGGTTAAGCCATGCGTGTAAAGAGTTTAAGCCTCCTAACAAACGACCGATTGTGTGAACGTACGCGTATGAATTACTTAATTAAGCGACTCGGAAAGATAAATCGGTCTCTTTCACGTTGCTACCGACGTGCGATATACGGTCGGTTTGTTAAAATTGTGCCAGGCCCGACCCAACGAATATTCGTATAAACAGACATCCATATACACAGAAATAAATGCGTATCTATCGATCTATCAAATAAATATACATTTGTTTTTTCCTATCTGCATGGTAGATATGCATGTCTAGACTGATAGATATGAATTTATTTCTGTATATGTTCTGCATGGATATCTATTCATTACCCAGTTTATCCTTCATCTCTATGAACGCAGCCTCCAGTCTCCGATCAACACTAGTCCTATTGTCGCGTAGGCCGATTTGTCCCTTTGTAATCACGTGAAAGCCGCCCGTGCATGTCCGTGTAACGAATGTCACTTAGGTCGGCCCTGGCAATTTAACAAACCGGCCGATAGTATCATGTTTTTACGTTTTTTACGTGTTCCGGACTGTTCCTTCCATTACTCGCCTGTTTCCCTGCACCATTTAATCCGATCATAAACCGGCATTAACAAGTGAGTAAATAAACACACGTAAGATCTTATCTGTGTGATGTGTTTTCAGCCACAGTGTATATTATTCCTCTGCTCAAATCAGAGTATCTAAACATAAACAATCTACTAAGCAAAGAAGAAACATGGCTCATTATCAGTACATAATGTACCCATGACACTAATACTATATAATACCACATCAACTCCATCGTCTTTTCCACAGGTCAACTGGAGAGGTTCAACACCCTGTACATTAACAAGCTGGAGCGAGAACTGTCGAGCAGCACAGCCAAAATCGCGGCTCTGGAATCGGCCGTTAGGAGCATAGGCGACCGTGCTGCCGCCTGGGACAACATCCAGAACCACATGACGGTCTGGACGGACCAGTCGCGCACGATGGAGCGGAAGTTGGATCTGCTCAACAGGTCAGCCATTCTTTCAGAGACTTTTTTTTTTCTTTCTTTCTATGTCTGTTATTACATTTATTTTTTTTTGTTTATTTATTCATTATTTTATTCATTAATCTATCTATTGATTAATTTATTATTTCCTTTTCCTTTCTATATCTGTTATTACATTTATTTATTACTTTTTTTATTCATTATTTATTCACTGATCTGTCTATTCATTGATTTATTATTTTTTTCTTTTTTCTTCTATCTGTTATTATATTTATTTTTTGTTTGTTTATTTATTCATTCATTAATTTATTCACTGATCTGTCTATTCATTATTTATTATTCTTTCTTTATTTCTTTTCTATATTTTACATTTATGTTTGTTTATTTATTTATTCATTAATCTATCTATTGATTATTAGTTTCTTTGTTTATTTATCATTTTCTTTATCTATTTATTTATCATTTCTTTATCTATTTATTTAATAATTTCTTTATTTATTTATCTATTTATTACTTTATACATTTATTACTTTCTTATATTTATTTTATTTATTACTTTATTTTTATTGCTTATTTATCTATTTTATTTCTTTCATTTTCTTTTCTTTTTCCTTTCGCCCTTTTTGTTTCTCGTTTAGCGTCTCAGCGTAAAATATAAGCTTGTGACGTCAGTGTTTTATGAATAAAGTCATCGAAAGTTAAAGGCATGTTGGTCAGTGTAAATGATTTTTTTTCGCAGATGTATCACTTACAAATTACCTCTGAATATCATCCTCGTATAATTGTGTATGTAGGAATATGTTTTCACTTCAAGGCAATTCAATCCTGAAATCGTAACTTCGTAGCGAACCACAAAAAATATTTCAGTATCTTTGTAGTATTATCAAAATATTCTTTGTTATTTCTTGATATAGATACTAAAATTCATTACGGTTTTGTATCTATTGTTTGTATGTAATTCTTCATTGCCTATGTTATGGAATGCAGTGAGAGAAAAAATCCATGCGATGTTTTCAGACAAATTACTAAACAGATCAGTAAAATAACCGACAAGAATTTAAATAGCGTGGTGAAAGTGATAATAAAGTAGAATCAATTTATTTATCTTTTTCTTTAAGCAATAAAATAAAAGCATCGACTGGCAAAGGCAGTTAAAGTACAGATGGCACCTTAGTTTGCAGCATGTCTAGTATGTGTGAGATTATTGCCAGGTTTGAATGGTTAGTGAGTATAGGTTAAACTGCTCGTTTGTAGAATTGTTTGAAATCTGGTTTGTTTCTAAACTTTTCAGCGAGTTTTATTTATGTTCTTTTGCGCAAGTCATTTTGTGTGTGTGTGTTTCGTCAGTTCTTTGCTTGCTGACTGGTAGAAGACATTTCTATGTTGATTTGGCATAATTTTTAAAATATAAATAAGACGCTCTGTCATGAAGATTAGTGTTGCGAGAGTTTAAGATTCAGGTAAATTCCATCTCATGGACTGGACTCCTGCTTAATTATCGGTGCAAAGAACTGAGACGGTGCCACTAAATAGCTTTATGGCAACCGACTCTACAGCCACCTCGCATCGCAGACAGATCGGCTTTGTTTGCATTTGATCAGCTGATAGAGCGGTCTCAGACGCCGAACGCTCATGTCTCCGGATCACAGACTTGCTTGCATAAATACGTTACAGAAAATCGGAACACGAACAGCGGATCGATCAAGCTGAATGGAAGTTACTTCTGTCTTAGCAGGAAGACAGTGACAGCAGTTAAAGCAACACGCTAGGACAATAAACCATTAAGATAATGCCATTGGCTCTGACGGTAAGCGTCATAAAGATGATTATGGCCCCGTGAAATGATGTTAGTTCATTTTTGTTAGCTGCGGTTGGACAGCACTACACCCAGAGGCACACACGACCCAAGACTAATCAGAGCATGGAGTAGCCGAAGTCTCCCTCGTGTAAACATGTCAAGGGGAAGTTTTGCATATAAAACAACAGCTGTCGAAGAGAGCCTGATTTAGACTTTTAATTGCCATGATCAATCGAGGTCGTCTTGTTGCAAATCGAACAGACAGACGCAGTGATTTAAACTCTACAAGGATATTCCACAACTTGGAGAAATAAAAGAAAGAAATACCACATAAGCATCGTGGCTAAGAACAAATGACCTGAGAACAATGTGCCACCAAGGAAAATTATGTAAATATACAAGTGGCACTCATTCAAACTGAGAACGGACGAGCTTTATTACTCATACTTTTAGATGTGACCGTCTGTCGAGTTTTGTTTACAAGAGTGACTAAATAGCTCTTGAAACTATACAAGAAATTATAATATAACATCCCACATGTTGCCTACGCTTTATCGCATGCATGAGGGAAAAAAATCATTTAAACAAATAATTATGTTGGCGAGGTGTTGCGTGGGCACATTACCATGTATTTTTATGACTGCATATCTTAAATCAATTTAGCGTCGCGCTTGGCACTTGCTACACAATGAGTGTATCTAATTAAAGAACTTTTCATTGGTTTATGATATCTTTCTTTCATCTTCATCTTATTCATAATAATTTTAGACAGCGAGTGCAAGAGGAGGGATCTAAAATCTAAGATAATGAATAAAAAAGGAGGAATTAAGATGTATGCAAATTCCGGGTCCAGATTTTCTAATTGTGAGTTAAGATTTTTTTTATTCAGTGTTTGGTTTGTGATTATTTGAGATTTAATCATGCTCGTGTTGCCAGAGTGTTGCCGTTGTATATCGGCGGTAAACTTTTCAAAATGATAAGGTGATAATGACTATGAATCCCCCTCTTTGTTTCTCTCTCTCTCTCTCTCTCTCTCTCTCTCTCTCTCTCTCTCTCTCTCTCTCTCTCTCTCTCTCTCTCTCTCTCTCTCTCTCTCTCTCTCTCTCTCTTCTCTCTCTCTCTCTCTTCTCTCTCTTTTCTCTCTCTCTCTCTCTTTCTTTCTCTTCTCTCTCTCTCTCTTCTCTCTCTCTCTCTCTCTCTCTCTCTCTCTCTCTCTCTCTCTCTCTCTCTCACTCTCCATGTGATACAATAAGCTGTGGTGAAAGTGAGAAATCAAAGATCGACAAGTCAACAAAAGTCTAATACTTTATTTTAGTTTGCAACATCCCGAAACTCCCATAACAATGATGTTTTTCTCTTTTCAGGCAAATTAATGTTTATCGCTTCAGTGTATAACACCTTTCTTCCTTTTTTTGTGATAACATTTCGAGATTCTTTTTGTTTTGTTTTGTTTGATGTGTGATCTTAACATTTCGATTTTTTTATGTGCGATCTTAACATTTCGAGATTCTTCTTGTTTTGTTTTGTTTGATGTGTGATCTTATTTCGATTTTTTGATGTGTCATCTTAACCTTTCGACATTTCCTTTTCCCTCAGGTGTCACGAGAAGCAAGATACCTGGGAAGTCAAGCTGAACGCCGTGGACGCTCTCAACCACAAGCTCACGGCGCTCGACAAGAAAATTAACGCCATGACGCGACTGGAGTTCAAGGTGGAGCAAGTGTCCGAAAGGGTTGAGGAAGTAGGTATTCTCTCTTTCTCGTATTCATTCTCTTTCGTTTTATCTGTTTGTATGTCTGTGTTTCACTTTTTTTTTTTAGGGGTTATAGCATTTTGTATTGAGCAGTGATTGCCTTGATACGATTGTAAGTTAAGATTTTGAGGCAAGAACGATCGTAAGTTAAGATTCTGGGGTAAGAACGATCGTAAGTTAAGATTTTTGGGCAAGAACGATCATAAGTTAAACATTTTAATGCAAGAACGATTGTGTTAAGATTTTGAGGCAAGAACAATCGTAAGTTCAAATTTTGAGGCAAGGACGATCGTAAGTTAAACATTTTAAGGCAAGAACGATCGTAAGTTCAAATCTTGCGGCAAGAACGATCGTAAGTTAAGAATTTGCGGCAAGGACGATCATAAGTAAAGATTTTAAGGCAAAACTCCTTAGAATTTTTGCATTTTTGGGTGCAAGACCAAACTGGTTCCCACTTTCCGCAGGTGAATTCGAAGGTCAACTGGGTGAAGAAGCAGATGGCGGCGCCGGAGCAGCCTATGATCACAGAATTTGCGGGACGCGGCCTGCTCAGCTCGCTCGTGCAGATCGAATCCAAGCTTGAAAATATATCCAGCAAGCTACCCGGCATGGGCGGCGGCAATGGCGGCGGCAATGGCGGCGGCGGAGGAGGTGGAAACGGTGGAGGGTACGGCGGAGGCGGTGGAGGCGGCGGGGTCTTCTCCTCCTTCAAGAGGCCCAGGGTACTTTCTCGACTTTTTAGGCATATCACGTGACTATAACACCCTCGATCACTTTGTTGTATTCGAGTTCCCGGCCGAGCGTGACCCTCGTTTATCCCCAGCAGGTGTACGGGTCGCGGTTCCGGCAGCTGCGCCCACGGTGAACCCGAGCCAGGGATCACTTCTCCAACGGCGACGGTCAGACTTTTTTTATTTATTAATTTTTTTTTATTTTTATTTTTTTTATTTATTTTTTATTATTATTATTTTACGATCACCTCTCTCTTATATAAAAAGCCTTATGCCTTGTTCTCAGCACTGAGTTGCGTCTCGTGCGGCCGATTCTCTGATGTTTACGTTATATAAGATTATTAGGTTAACCCCCCCCCCCGATGAGTCCTGAGATGATTCTTTCATTTCGTTGCAGATGCCAATACGTGCCAGTTGCATCCGAGGGACTCCAGGAGACTGCAGGACGTGAGCGCCAAAGTCGACCTGCTGTTCGACCGCATCACTGATCCTGATTATGACTATGATTATTTCGTCAGTAAGTTAAAGTGGAACACACACTTTAAAGATTTCATTGTGTTGGAGACATACGCTGGAGATTTATGATATTCCTTAGATTGCAAAACTTATTTCTTTTCCCTTTCTTTGGTTCTCGAATGAGTTAATTTTGCAAGAATTGTTTCAAAAGCCACGTCGAATTAATACTAAATATTTTAACAAAACAATTAGGTTTCACTGATAAATGTAACACATCAATTATAAAATCACTTACAGGCACTTTATCACAGCTGTTTTAGCCTTTTGAACAGAAATGAACACACGAGTTGGCTCATCACGCCCACCGCCTCTCTTGTTTCATAACTGAAGAAACACCAGCATTCCCTTCAAGAACTTGCAACCTAATCTTGCCTTCTCTTGCTTCCTAATCGAAGAATACCAACATTCCCTTCAAGATCTTGCAATTCTACCCAACAGGTCACATCCCGCGGCCGTCGTCACTGAGCAGCCAGAGTAGCGGCCCCAACGGAGGCTCGGGTGCGGGTGAGGGTGAAGCCTCGCCCGAACACCTCTTTGCAAGATTCTGGAAGAGTATTTTCTCGCCTTTCAAGAAAATGAACAGGAAGATCAGAGTCTTTGAAAATCAACTCACCGCTGTTCAGAAGTTAGTATTGGTAGAAAAAAACACAATGCACAAACTAGTTTTATTGAAACAAGTTTGTATTCGCTCGACTGAAGAGACGAAATCAAATATCTAATACTTCAATAGATTGTGAGAATTTTATTACCATTACGATCATACGAGCAAGTTTGTAAAAGTCAGAAAGTTTGGATACATCATACAAGCTTGAGAGGTCCTTGCAGGTCGTGCAACACCAGCTTCAGCATGGAAGGCTACGCGGCAGAAGTGGGCGGTGTGCTGCAGAAGAAGCTCATGCCCCTGGACGAGACGCTGAGGGAGGAGATGCTGGAGACGCGCATTGCTGTCAATGATCAGGCAGCCAACATTGAGAAGGTGTCGCAGGTAAGGTTCGGCCATGTTTATGGACCGTTATTGCTAACTAGGTCCATGGCGAAGTCGCTGAGATCTTTATTTGGAAGAATGGCTTGACAAAGGGAGCAAAGTCCCATCACATTCGATTTCAATTTCTGGTCGTCCTATCCTCCTCCAGGCCGTGGGCAACACCGCATACATGGGCGAGCAGTTGCTGACGGAGATAAAGAACCAGTTCCACGCCCAGCGAGTCATCATCCAGGAGCGCTTCGACGAGACCCGCGGCCTCATCCTCCAGCACTGCGCCAACGGCGGCGGAGGCGGAAGCGCGCCGCCCTACAACCCGCCCCTCGCTCCCCGCGACCCCGCCTACCCCACCACGCCCACGCCCTCCAAGCCGTCCATCCCCATATATCCGACGACGAGGTTGGTCGACCGAATTTGAAACGTTTTCCATTTAATAGATCAGGGTTACTTTCACTTCTTAGAATGAGGAGGAACTTGAGCTAACACTTCAATATTAACTACAGTTAGAACTGTATTTAAAGTTACTTTGAGACTACAGATATAGCTATACACGACCAAACCAGTCACATATTTTGCTGGCGTTTTATTGCACTATTAGTTGAGGTGTTGACACGTGAATAGGTCAGTCGGCCAAGCAGAGTTTTCCTAAAAGATCTTAATTCCAGACTAAAGAAGGTCAGGAACAGATACAACCGTGTACATCCTGATGCAGAGCCGGAAATACACACATTGCAAGGCGGAAGGGGACACAGGTTCAAATATCGCTACAAGTATAGGTATAATGACCCTCTCCAGAGAGCTTTGGTACAAAGTCACCGCCAAGTCTCCAAAGTGGCTTCAAGGCCCCAGTCAGCCCAGGCCCGGAGAGGCAAGATAAAAGGCTATCGCCAGTCCGCTTCTCATGAGGACACCCCGCATGACATGGCTCAGCCCGAGAGCCAGTCGAGGACGAGTCCCAAGCGCCAGCAATCCCAAGGGTTGTCGGACCAGGGGAGCGCAGGGCGGTTGGGACGGAGTGCAAACGACCAAAAACCGACGGCCTCGGAGGTGTGAGTGTTGCCAGTGCAGCTCCCTACATAACTCTGCTCCTGCGTTAAACTCTCCTGAAAAATGATTTCATAAATCTCTCACAGGCATCCCCCCAGTTCATAGTTCCGTCACGATGGACTACGGCTGTAGATCCACTCTGCGATAGTCCGATGTCGCGCACTTTACTCTGAGCTTCTTCCGTTCTGATCCTCCCGTAGAAGCATATTCCTCGCGCAACATTAACTGCATTTTGTACCCTGAGGGAAGAACGAGGCCTTCCACTGAATGCTTGTGTATGAACTCTGCTCCTCTGTTGTGGAATAATGATTGCGTTGGAGCTCTGCTGGCTTTTAGCTTTTCGAACCTATCTATTCGAGACGGAAGAATGAATCACTTGAGCACTATCTCTCTCTCGTGACCTCCGGGAGCAGCGTGTAAGGACACGTCGCCCCGAAGTAGTAAACTGAATGTATAATACGTTAATGCAGAATGATAGACGCCTAGTTAAATCTAACATACATTAAACTACATTCAGATGGCGGTGGGGGAAGGGGGAAAAATTATGAAAAAAAAATCATATCAACCAAACAATCTGACTATAAATTCCATATGAAATTCACCATCTTTTGAAAAACTAACTAACTTTATCCATCATACATTCACCTGCTTATCATGGCCTTTTCCGGCACCCGATAACCGCCTAAGACCATAACCATCACCACTGCCACACCGTGAAGTCTTTTTCTCTAATATTTCCGGCCACAGCAATGACATCAGGGACTGCACCAACCTCTTAAGTCAAGGATACAGCCGAAGGATCGTCTTCAACTTCAACCCGGACTCGCAGAGACACTCCAACGGGCATGATTACTTCCACAGGTAAGGAGAAGGAGGGAGGAGGGAGGAAGGAGAGAGGAAGAAGTAAGGAGGGAGGAGGACGAAGGGTGAGGAGGGGGAAAGGGAAAGAAGGAAGGGAGGAAAAGAAGAAGAGAGGAAGGAAGAAGTAGTAAGGAGGGAGGAGGAACGAAAAGGGTGGAAGGGGAAAGGGAAAGGAGCGGGGAAAGGAAGGGGAGGAGGAGGAGGAGAGGAAGGAGGGAAAGGAAGAGGGGGAAAGGAGGAGTAGGAAAAGGTGGGAAGGAGGGGGGGGGAGAGGGAAGAGGGAAGGAGGGGAGAGAGGAGAAGAGGAGAAGAGGGGAGGAGGGGAAAAAGGAGGGGAGAGACGGAGGACGGAAAGGGTAGGAGGGGGAGGAAGGGAGAGGAAAAAGAAGGAGAAAGAGAGGACTGAGGAAGGAGAGGAAGAGGAGAGTAGGGAGAAGGAAGGAGAGGAGAAAGGAGGAGAGAAGGAGGAAGGGGAGACGGAGGAGAGATGAAAGGAGGTACACGTAGGGAGGAGGAAGGGGAAAAGAGAGAGAGGAAGGGGAAGGACGGAGAGCGGAAGAAAGGGAGGAGAGAGGAAGAAAGAGGAAGAAGCAAGGAGGGAGGACGAAAAGACTTGCCCTCCCTTTCTGCTCTTGAATGATGTAAGTGCTGTGCTGACCCTGATATAACCATTAAATGTTTATTTATTTGTTTGTTGATTGATTTATCTGGCTCTGTATTTTCTATCTACTCTGCGTGTCTCTCATCTTCTATTCTACTATTTTCTGTCTGTATGTTTTTTCTGTAAATCTAGTTATATTTTTTTTCGTCCTTTTTAATATATATTTTTTCTCTCTGTCTGCCATCAATTTTTCTGTATGTTCTGGTCTAGTTTTGTTTGTTTATCTTGATTTTGTTTTTGCTTTTGTGTTTTGTTTTTATTTCGTTTGTATATTTTGTTTTGTGTTTCGTTATGTGGTTTTATTTATTTTTTTTTTTTTTTAGTTATTTTATCACACCTTTAGTCGCGGAGGTTAAGAATTCGCGGGATTTCTATCTGATGCTAGTAGCTATAGGGCACAGTCTACATTTATGGCCAGGTGCGAGGTGAATCGGCAGATTGATCCCGCCTCGGCGTATGCGTAGCTTGCGCGTAGGTCCAACTGTGGCCGTGATGCTGAGACGAATTCTTCGCTCGTCGGGTGTGACCAGTCATGCTATGGGATTTATGCATCTTCTGCCGGCGTTTGGGCTATGATGGCGGACGGGTAATTGGCGCGGTTTCGTCGTGTTTTGTTGTTACGCTTAGCCATCTCTACCCGGTGTTGTTACCGGCTGCCTACGATGTAATCACTTGTCCCGCGACCCACCAACCCACCAACCACGCTAGGGTGATACACCCACCCATCCACCTCCCCACCTCCCCCACCACACCTTCCCCATCCCCACCCACAACTCTGTCACCCACCCCGCCCCACCCCCCACCCCTCCCAATCCCCCCCCACTCGCCCAACCCCCCCCACCCACTGACCACCGCCCCCACCCTCCACCTGTTTCTCCCCATACCAAAAAAGACAATCACAACGAATCCTTTTCTTTTTTACATCCACCAGGTACTGCGACCAGGAAACCGCCGGCGGAGGGTGGACTGTGATCCAGCGGCGGGGCATGTTTGGGGCGCCCTTCGACAACTTCACCAAGTCGTGGAGGGACTACAAGTTCGGCTTCGGTGACCTCTCGCGGGAGTTCTGGTGGGGCAACGATAACATATACAGGTGAGGGTGAGCGTTGGTGGCTGGCCGGGGTGGGGGTTGCCTTAAGGTTTATCTGTGTGTGTGTGTGATATATATAATATATATAGTAATATACTATATATATATATATAGAAATATATATATATATAATAGCATGTGTGTGGTGGTGTGTGTGTGTGTGTGTGTGTTGTGTTGGGTGTTGTGTTATATATATATATTATATATATATATTATATTATATATATATATAGTTATATATATATATAATATATATATATATATATATATATATATATATATATATATGTGTGTGTGTGTGTGTGTGTGTGTGTGTGTGTATGTGAGTACATATTTACATATGTATGTATGTATATTCAATATATATATATATATATATATATATATATATATATATATATTATATATATATATATGTGTGTGTGTGTGTGTGTGTGTGTGTGTGTGTATGTATGTATTATGTATGTATGTATGCATGTATGTATATATGTATATATAATATTTGTATGTATGTATGTGTGTGTGTGTTATATATGTATATATATATATATATATGTAATATAATACATATACATATACATATACATGTGCGTGTATGTGTATGTGTATGTCTGTGTTTGTTTGTATATGTGTGTGTGTGTGAGTACATATTTTTCTTTCTTTCTTTTTCTTTTACCTTTCTTTTCTTCATCTTTACCTATTTGAAGCTGACCAATTTCTCAACCGAACTAAATGCAATACAGTTCCCGAAATTCCTTAGAGCGTTACTGACCAGCATTCCCTGCCGTCAGGATGGTGCGGAGCCAGGATACGGTCATCCGCTTCGACCTGTGGGACTTCGAGGGCAACTACGCCTACGCTGAGTACTTGAGTTTCTCGTAAGGATAAGATGCGGTGGTTTGTGTATTGAAGACGATTTTAAAAGAGGACACGAAAGAAATTTACTTGTGTTACATTAAATAGATAATGATGATAAAAATAAAGGTGAATGATAAAATGATTTTAAAAATAGAAGAAAATGTCTATGTTTTAGATTTTCCGTATTTAAAAATCATGCTTTTGTGTAATGACCACGATTCAAAATAGGATATAAAAGATTTACTTATGTCGGATCCTCCATAAAAAAATAGATGAATAAATAAAAATGTCTATATTGAGTTTCAGTGTTCAAAAAATCATGTTTTTGTGTAATGAAAACGATTCACAATAGGATAAGAGATTTATTGTGTGACACCCTCGATAAAAAAAGAAAGAAAAAAAACATTAAAAAAAACAAGAAATTTACAAAATATTATTTAAAAAGAATGCCTATATTTAAGAGTTAACGCATTTTAAAAATCACGCTTTTGAAATGTGTCTTTAAACAAGATGAGCGATATGCGAAATCCTCTTCTTCCCGGACCAGCTAAATCTCCTCCCTCACTCCCTCAGCATCGGACCCGAGAGCGACAACTACCGGCTTAGCGTCTTCGACTACCGAGGCAACGCGTCTGACAGCTTCTCCGCCCACAACGGGTACCTCTTCTCCACCGTTGACCGAGACAACGACGAGGCGCCCGAATGCTGTCCCTGCGCCCCGGCCTACGGTGGTGGCTGGTGGTTCTACAGGTAGGTTCTTGATGCTGTTTTTAGCTGTTTTTTTTGTGTGTGTGGGGGGGGGGGGGTCGTGAGGGAGAGGGAGGAATGCGTCATGTTTTTCTTCGTTTTTTTTTTTTTTTTTTTTTTTTTTTTTTTTTTTTTTTTTTTTTTTTAGATTTAAGAAAATGGGTTTTGTTTTTGTTTTTTAGCTATTTTTGTGATCGCTTTCAGTGAGGGAGGTTTTTTCATGAGGGAAGGAATGTGTAATGTTTTTCTTCGTGTGTTTTTTTTTTTCATATTCAAGATTTTTTTTTTAAGCTATTTTTGTAATCGCTTTCTTTGAGGGAAAGGAAGGAATGCGTTATGTTTTTCTTCGCGTGTGTGTGTTTTTTAAGGAATAGGTTGATAATATTGTATATCAACACTGTTTATTGAAAGGAAGAAATAGATTAATGATATTGTATATATTTATTGGAAGGAAGAAAGAGATTATTGATACTGTATATAACTCCTCATTGTCACTTCCGTAAATAACCCCCCCCAAAAAAAATCTCGCAATGCAGCTGTTTCGAGAGCAACCTGAACGGCGACTACTTCACCAACCCGAAGGAGAACGACTACTACCGCGGGATCGTCTGGGAGTTGTGGCTCGGCGACTACTCCCTCAGGGCCACCGAGATCAAGATCCGCCCCGCCAGCTTCTCCGGGGGCGTCTTCACCCCGGACCACCCCTACCCCCCTACCCCTCTGCCCGACCCGTACCCGACCGAAACCCTGGAGCCCGAGCTGCCCCTCCGACAGCCGCTGCAGAAGACATAGGAAGTCCCGAGAGAAAGCAGGAGGACTTCCGCCTGGAGGAATCGCCTGGTGCAGCGGTTGCACAATCAACATCCAGGCAGTTTTTTTTACGGATACCATTAAACACTTGGTGGAAAAAAAACAATCTGATGTTAAATATCTATTTCTGTATTATTCTTAGTCTTCGCGAAATACCCAAGTCCCTTGAGTTTGTATTTCCGAAATTCGTAGTTCACAAAAGAGCTAAGAAATTCACCATTACTTCCCCCCCTTACCTTTTCACTCATCCTTGACCTTTCCTTCCTTCTTACTCAAGTGGCACTCAGTGTCCGTCCATTAACATATCAGCATGCAGATACACATTTCTGGATCATGATGTAAAATACCATGATACATTCTCGTTGGCCTTTTGCAAAAAAAAAATAAATAAAAGCTCCTGTGTCTCTAGACGTTTAGTTAACGAAGTGAATATGATCAACTTCCAGTTTTTCTTTCCGGTAAAATAACATTTCAGTTCTCTTATATAAGTAAACATCAGTTTTATTGAAGCTTGTGTAATAATAGACACGATTCTATAAGGCCATTTCTAGAGCAAAGTGTTACTTTCTGAATCTGACTTCCATTATGTTTATTAATGTGAGTCTGACGTGTAGACAATGTCACTGGAGGTTTTCAAACGTAAACCTGTGTTGTAGATTCACTGTAGAAGGGAATGCCTTTGCTCCCTTTCTCTCCATTACTCTGTTTCCATGTATAATTTCCTCTTTTCACTAATCTCAGTCTATTCTACGTTGACTCAGGCAATGTATATGGCTATTTTCTGTTTGTTTGTTTTTTTCTTTTCCTTTTTTTCATCTTTTCTGTCTCTTCCCTATTCTTTGTTCCCTCTCCTCGCTTCTGTCGTTCCCTCTCCTCGCTTCTGTCTCTTCCCTATTCTTTGTTCCCTCTCCTCGCTTCTGTCTCTTCCCTATTCTCTGTTCCCTCTCTTCGCTTCTGTCTCTTCCCTATTCTTTGTCCCCTCTCCTCGCTTTTCTCCCCTCGTTGCTTCACATTAACCTCGGGATTTTAAACTAATACCAACAAGTCGAAAAAAAAAATTATTTTAACGAAATGGAATAACCCCAAAAATCACTTTCAGGTTACTAAATACTCCTGTATATAGTAATACTGAATGGGTATGATAAATTAACTTCTTTAAAACCAATGTACTAATGTAGGTTAACCCGATATTACCATAAGAGTAAGATTAATAATACTCACTCCCTCAACACATACTTCCCCTTAAACACACAATAGGCAGTGTAATATATTGTACTTAATATCAACATTACAAAACAGTATCAAAGAATGTACAGCAAGAGTCTCTGCTTCACATTTACCCCAATCCTTAACATTATAAAGTCAGTATTTATAGGAACGTTATGTGGGTTTAGTGAATGCCTTTGTTATATACCCCTCGTCCAACGGAAGAGTGTAAGCGACCAGACGAATTCAAATTCAAAATACTTTATTCCCTTTGTTACAATGGTAATTCTTATTATATACATAGTGATATTACAGTACATATAAGTTCAACATAGAATCAGTGGCAGTACATATACTGTAAATCATGTCTATTCTTATATTTTGAAACCTGATGCCATTGGTGATTTAAAAGATGTTCCTTTAATTTCTTTTTTTGAATGTATTTGGGTTCTGAATGTTTTTATTTTTAAAATTACAAGGTAGTTGGTTCCAAAACATGGGTCCACGTGTTAGTGTCTGTCGCGCCCAGTGTCTGTTGACCTTTTGACATATGGGGAGTTGACCTGTCGCGCCCCCAATGTCTATGTGACCTTTTGACATATAGGGAATTGTCTGTCGCGCCCCCACTGTCTGTCTATGTGACCTTGACATATGGGGAGCCCCGCGCCCCAATGTCTGTACGTGACCTTTTGACATAGGGGAGTTGACCTGTCTTAAGCTGACGAGGGTAAAGGATGCAAGAGTCATGTCTTAGCGTTAAGGATGNTATATATATATATATACAAACACATATATATAACACACACACATATACACACACATACATGCAGCAGCAAGCACACATACCCTCCTGTACACGGACTTACTTGTAGATGGGTTCTATCTTGCTCAAGGGCACCACGAATTCAACCGCTGTCAGAGGTGATTTGTCCTGCTTGGCGAGACGCTGTTCTGTGACCACCTGTTGGTATAAGGTTACATGTGTGAATGTAGGTTAAACTAATGTCACATATGCATCAAAAGATATGTAAATGAATAAAAATAATTTTCTCACTATTTTATGAAAACAAAGGAGATCGATATTGATTTATTTTGTACTTTTTTCTTTCGTTTTGAAACTCGCGAAAATTTATACTCATCATCCCTTTAAGCACCATGAGTAGATATATATAAAATCAACAACTAAAAACTATTTTCTCTCTCACTATCTCATCAGAAATAAAACGAATCCGAAACTGACTTCCATGCTTGAAATATCTTAAACCCATGCTTTTAGAAACATTGCGAGAATTACACTCACGATCCCTCTGCCTCTGCCTCAGCCATAAACAACAACATAAACAAACTTACTTGACTCACGACGCTGAAAATGTGGCCTGTTGTGAACCCGTCGGTTATCCGGGCAAGACCTCCGATGTCCAGCCGAGGAGACAGCTGAAGAGGAAACGTATACAATGTATTACTATCAATATTGTCAATGCTGATATGGTTACACTGGTCGTTTTCATACTCTCTCTTTCTCTTCT